TCACCAGTTTCCCTCCTGAGGGGGCCCACATGACAGAAGTTCTCAACAGTGGGACTCTGGTTTACAGCTGATCTATCTAACAGTCTTGCTCCCTTTCCTTCTCAGTATAAAGCTTTTCTCACAGCACTTCTACTCCCACCTACAGAATACCCCTTATCCTGGCTCTAATGCTCACTGAGACCCTTCTCTGATCAGATTTTCCTCCCCCCCCTACTAAAATGGCAGAGAATGGCAGGGTTTTTTCACTTCCTCTTAGTGAGATGGACCAGCTTACAGAAAAGCCCAATGAACTCCAGAGCTGGTGCAGAGAAGTGGCAGGAACAGGGGCGAGGGAAATGGCAGCAGTAGCTGGATCTTCCTCTTCTGCTGCCAGTGAACAATTACAATGATCAGTTCCTCTCTTGTAATTTGTTGTGGTAGCCACAAAAAATTTTTGGTAATAGATAGAGATAGGGATAAAACTTGTAATACAGGTTACTGCCTCTATATAAACTGTTACTCCTACTGGAAAAAATAAAACTAAAAGTGTTCCCAGGGCTGCTTCCTTCCTTTAACCTAAAGGAATGTTATCAAATTTTCTAAACTTATTTTCAGCTGAAAACAAAAGTGAAATTAGCTTGGAGCACAGCTTCATAGGAATGTAATGAGTTAACAGAAGTAAGCTCCAGTACAGCATTTGTAAAGCTATAAAGTTGGGTATTCTAGTTTAGAAACATTTACCTGTCATTGTACAGCATGCTATACTCAAAGAATGCTCCAGGAAGAGGTCTGTAAAGTAGAGTTTTTTCAGAACTGTTTTGACAAAGCTAATGATCTCCTTGAAAAGATGATCAAGGCCACAAGTGAGGGGAAAAAACCCAGGCAGATGACAAAGCACCGGTAGATTCAAGTGTGATGGCATAACATTCCCTGGTCAGTTTTGTCAATAATGACATAAGGCTCCTGGATGTCGTGTACCTTGGGCTTACAGCTCTCCAGCTTTAGGTGGCTGGGTGTGGGGCAGTCCCGTCCGGGCTGCAGGAGGCTCCTCCTGCGCCGCGCGCTGGGGCGTCCCGCGCGGGGAGGCTGAACGTCCATACTCTCTGGAGGGATGTAGGTGAGGTTAGGAGGCTCTCTGACGTGCCTGAAGCAATCGGCAGCTGTAGGTGCCTCAGGAGTATCCATCAATAGTCTCTTGCTATCAGAACCAGCAGTAGGATCCTCCATGTTCCCAGCAGTACAGCACAGATCTGAAGATGACTCAATCTGTGCAGCTGCTCTGTTGTGCATCTGAGCGTTACTCAGATAGGTGTGCTTTATTTTGGAGTGATTAAATTCTCTTACATGCCTGTCGCTGGTACTTGGGTACAATACTGACTCAGGTTGGCCAGTTTCCTCCACTGGATACATAAGGTCTTCCTGTGTGTCCTGCATCTGGAGTTCTGTGAAGGTTAAAGACAGCTCACAGACATCCTCTTCCCTGGGGATGCTACAGTTTTGGGCCAGTGTAACATCCTCGTACGGCAGAGACTTCAGCTCATTGGGTTCATCTCCAGGGTCTGGGTCTATGCAATTCATGGCATCATTAATTTCTGCTTCAATTGATTCTTCAGGGACTACTTGAGCTTTGTACTCCAAAGTGGGTTGGCTGTCACAAGAGCTGTCAGCAAACACTGCAAAGGCTGGCGGACCGCTTGCTCCCGGTGAGAGCGGCACAGGCCTGATCTCACCTGCAGCTGACTCTGCAGTGGCTGCCAAAACACATTCTTCACTTAGACTGGCCCTTGGCCTTTTTTCAAAAGCTTTTGGAGAAAGATTCTCACTGAAAATAGGTGTTTGTCTTATGACAATGTCACTATATTTGATCAAGAAGTCCTCGCTGTCTGAGCCTTTGCCCGGACCATGGACGGTGTTAGTGACCTGCCTTTGGTGTTCCTGAGGCCTGTCAGTGGACGGAGCAGCTGCTAACTGAGGCACCACGTCCTTCATCTGCGGGCTCCCCGAAGCTTCAGAGGATACATCACTATCAGTAGAAGACTTCTGTTGAGTAGCAAGGCACAAAGATAGCTCACAGTTTTCTCTATTTTCTAGATTTTCAGTGTCTTCTCTCTGATGTGTCTGATCTGCTCTGTCTTTATCTCCATGATGCTGGTGTGTTTGTGTTCTCTTCTGTAGGGTCTTCTCCAAATTGCCATGTTTTTCTTTATCTGTCATTTCGAGGATGGTTTCACACTCGATTCTTGCCAGGAATATTTCAAATGCAGTCTGCTTTGTTTCCTCATAGTTTCTCTTTTTGACAAGTGAAAACTCTGTTGCTGTTGTTGCAGTGTAACCTATTTTCTCCAGTACTGTTTTTACAATGTCATCTGGGAGCACAGATTGAATATAGTAGACAAAATTACCGGTGAATGTCTGAAACAGAATGCAACATTGAAAAACAGATGAACACTGGGCTGGTGGGATGAAGGGAAGCGTGAAAGACTTCCTAAGAAAACCTTCAAGATTTACTTCAAAATACTTCACAAATGACTTGTCGTTTATAAAACTATATTTCTAAAAGTCTGAATTTTGAGCTGAAGCAAGTGAGGGTCTTTCAGCATTATTTTGTCAACTTCTCAACCATTATAGCTTTGCTACAGTACATTAATTTCAGTGAAGTTATGCCAGTTTAAACCTGCTAATATACTGGCTGAAAGCATCCATATTCAAGAATGAAGAGACTAAGAAGATCATTTTAGTCAAACTAGAGACACCAGCAGTAAGTCTTACATGCTCTACTGAAGAATGGAAAATTTTTAAACAAAGATTCATAGAATAAATGAAGGAGGTCTCATCTTTTCCTAAAGAAACAGATAGGACACACTCACTGTTAATTCTATTTCTTAATTGGTGACAAGACTGCAACAATTTCTTTTTCCATGGTTCAAGTTCCTGCTCTAACTTTACTACCCCAAATTAAGTTGCTATTTCTTTGAAAGTGCCTTTTTGAAAGGCAATTATTCTAGCAGAAATATTGCCAAAATGCACTCTCTTTGCACGAGCTGTCTGCAAAACATGACTGGAATAAAATGCTGCTGCTGTGTAACCACTTTAAAAAAAATCTTTCAACACTTGCTCCGTCTTGGAGCTATGCCAGGCATAAGGCCTGGTCTGTAAACTGGAACTGGGTTTTGGTTACGTCTGCAAGGCTCTGATAGTAGAAACTATGTTGACCTAACCAGGTAAGTGAGAACAGAACAGAGGGAGTAATGCAAAGTCCAGACTTCCAGAATTGGGATACCTTATTTTCAGGCTCCCCAGCTTGAGATATTGACTTTTAACTACTTTCTAAAGCTGAGTCCTAACCACTGGTCTCACAAGCACCTCGTGCTTTGGGGGAGAACAGAACTGACCCGCAGAAGGGCCGTGAACGTGAAAGGTGGCAGTGTAACAGCACTGAGCCTCAGCCAGTTCTCACACAGAGCTGTCAGCAGTGCCTTCCACTCCCCAGCCTCTCTGACTAAGGCAGTAAGGAGCCGGCGCTGCTGGGATGACATCAGAGCGGGTGAGAGCCAGGAAGTAAGTGGCATTCAGCACAGGACCAGTAACCTTTTATCAAGCCCATACGTACACCAGATACAAGTTGTTCTCCAGCTTGTGCCTTGCAGTGGAATTACTGCAGGCCTTCAGCAGGCTGTCTTGCACTGCAGATTACCCACAGTGGCCTTCAAAATTTAACGAACCCTAGAATTCCTGTGTTATGAAAAGCTGAGCGTGCTAACTGTAGTCCTGAATATCTTTTTCTTTGTCCTACTTTAGGGAAATGAATGAGTAGACTAGGAATCTACAGCTGTTTGACAATCTGCAGATGAGACCTAAGGGCAAGAAGAAAAGAAATGGCTTTTCTTCACCAGCACCTGTTGCTGTAGCAAGGGAAAGTTTGCACTTTTGGTATTTAGGGATTTTGCTTAAATACCAGTAGATTTTGCATATGTTAAAGACTGCCATCTCTTCTGGGCAATGAGATGTGTTCTGTGTGCTAGGGAAGATGGGTAACTTTAACCACCTTGCTGCAAAAAGCAAAAGAATTTCCTCTTTTGAAAGGGTTTTTCCTGCCTGCTTCACCAGCTGCAGTCATGGCAGCTAGCATAGGTGGTTAATGCCCTGGACCAGAGGGACACAGCCCACCTGGCCTTGGGTGTCAAACTGTTAGCAAGAGCAGTAACTGATGCTAAAGGGGTTCCCCTCCTTATGAGCAAATTAAGGTTAAAACTGGGAGTAATGAGAGTCTAAGCCTTTCATGGAACCTTTTGTTTGTCTCCAAAGCCCAGACGCACTCGGCACTCCGGGGAGGGCTGCTGAAGGCCGGGCCGCGCCGAGGGCAAGGCACGCACATGCCGGCGAACGCCTCACAGCACCCTCGCACCCCTCGGGGCAGCCCCGGCCCCCTCGAACCGGGCTCCGAAACGCTGCTGCGAGCTCCCCGA